TATATATAAAGTTAAAATCAGGGCTGTAAGAAGGTCAGCTGAGAAGCTTGGGAGCATTCTCATTAATGAGTTCAAAAGTTTTTTGGCCATAATCTTAGAAATTAAAACAATATTAAATAAAGTTGGTCCAAAAAAATTTAAAGCAATCATAACCGACAATGGAGCAAATGTAAAATTAGCTTGTAAATTAATCATTAAAGAATATCCTCAAATTTTAAATTTGTGTTGTATTGCTCATTTTATTACACAAAACTAAGTTTGTGAACTATTACGGAGTTGCAACTATTGAAGGTTTAATTATGGTATTACAACAATTCGTAATGTTGTAATATAGTTAAATTACGGTATTACAATTACAACAATCTGTAACAATATTGATATATCGTGATATTGTCGATATCGCGATATATCATATACTGTACGTGTGTGTAGATGGCAGTCGGTACCGGTACATTTATTACAATCACGAGTATTCGAGTCTTTCCAAATATCTTTTTGAGAGTGATTATGTGCTGTGTTTGGCGATTTATTTGTATGAAAGTCAATTTCTTTATTGGATTTCTGTGTTGTGTGTTATAAATTTCTGTTTTAATTTACATACATTCTAAGTGAATTCTTACACTGTCGTTATTACGTAACACAATGTCGTTATCGCTATAGATAATAATAATGCTGCAACGTTGTAATTTTAATATAACAGGGGTTTGTGTTATAATATAACGGGTTACGGTATTACGATAGTGTTATAATATAACGGTTTTACGGTAATACGGTGGTGTTATAATACATGTATAACGATTTTGTTGCAAAATTCACCATTTCGTGTTGCAACAGCACAACAACTCATTTTTAGTTATGGGCCACAAGCTTACAAAAAACTTGTAAATACATGTACGTGTATTTGGAATTTGCTTGTGTTTTAAGTTTCTTCTAAAAGTTTTATTGCAAAATATAACATTTTGTCAACAAAAGCAATAGTACAGTTTTTGGATAGTATGCATGATAAACGAGCTCCTGATTAATAATTTAGGCTGTTATTTTAAGTTTTGAATAGATTACTTAAGAGGTGTACCGATTCCTCGCATGTAAAGAAACTATTTAAGAAATCAAATTTCCCAAGAAAATAGCATACAATCAAGTATAAAGATGTCCTAATTTATTGGTTTTTTAAGTTGTCTGACATATCTATGTATTGTAAAAAAAATGGTAAACTTCTAATTTTTGCCAAAATTGCAGGACTTCAGATTGCTCCCTTTGATGTCACATGATATGATCAACGATTTTTTGATTTTATTAGATGTAACCGTAACACTACGATATGAGAAAGGGATACAATGCACAAGTAGATACCATTTTTGGAAAAAAGACATACGAGCAAATCGATCACCGAATTCTCATTGCAGTTGACCTCTCTTTATAGTAAAGTGTCCGTTCGATTAGAGTTTATTAGTAAATTTATTACAGAGAGAGATTTTATTATAGATAGTTTTGAACTCAAATTTACTATAGCGAGATTTTAATTGGTCTTTGCTATGACAAACTTTATTATAAGCGTCAACTGTATTTGGATAGAATAAAGAATTTCAAGCCAAAAGCTCTCGGAAATTTGGGTTACGTATAATTGTATGGTGCATAACATCTAAAGTCATCAAACGTTTGTATTTTATAAAATGTATAAACATCTTTACTAAAAAGTAGATATAAAATTTAATCCGTGAATATGATAGAATAGGTATTTACTTCTTAGTAAAGAAGTTTATACATTTTATAAAATACAAATGTTTGATGACTTTAGATGTTATGCACCATATCAATAGTGATCTCATAAAAAAAGAATATATCTAAACAAGAAATTTGGCTTTATATCATTACCAATTCATTTGTATCTTTAATGCGAAATACAGACTTTTATAATTGATATTGATATCGATATCTTTTCTTAACGTTAAGGTAAGATATTGCTGATTGTACTACACTCAAACACTTATTGCTTATTTCTGATTCCAACAAATTTTTTCTTAAATCAATATTAGACTTGATAATACTTTTGTGCGAGACAAGATGATATTCTTTAGTAACAAATTGGGCTTCAAAATTTCAGATTTAGAAGTCTATTTGTTGTTTTTAAATTAAATAATTTATAAATACGTATTTAAATAACATGTTGGTCATCCATTACTACATGTAATTTCTATTCAGCAAGATTTTTTTAGAAAGTTATTTATTAAATTTTTTAATGAATGACATGCAAACAATCTTAAAAAAAGGAAAATAAGAACATGCACAAGAACCACGGATATCATATGATACCAACTTTATCGATATGTGCAACATTGAGTAAATCTGTAAATCATTGTTTTTTGTACATGCCGATGTAGTCACTGTAACTGACTGTTACTCCAATACAATTCAAAGAACTTTGATTATTCAAATTCTTTTGATTTCAAAAGCAGCTTATAAAATTTGTTGGAATGACAAGGAAAACACATTGGGAAAGTGACAAGACCCCAATTAATTATTTTGGAATCTTTCGAGACCCAACATAATTCAACAATAAAAGTCATTTAAAATTTACGCTTTTGATTTAGGCACATACATGTATTTGTATTAGTGAAATCATTTAAATTAAAACGCGTAGATATTTTTCTAATATCGTATATACTCGAAGCCAAAATTATGATGTTAATTTGATTTAATTTTGATGCTCGCCACAAGAGATGACGATCATAGAGATGATGAATTTTATAGTAAATAGAAAGAATTTTTTTTAGGCACCGCACCTGCATTATCAAAATAAATAATTTTATTTTTTACTCGACTTTCATGTACATGTATACCCGAAACAAACATATCGAGGCCCTCTTGTTACACATTGTGGCTTTATTATTTTCACCAAATACGGAGATATAAAGCCGGATTCTTGTTTAGAATCAAATCGACCGATTTTTGTAAATGATATTTCTCCAATTTAAATTTTGAAGTACATGTATGTATCTGTACGTCGAGAATATTTACATTTCCAAGAACATTTTATCTTTTTTCGGAAGTGCATGCATGTATTTTGTTGTGTGATCCTTATCATACAGAATTGTGCATGCGTATCGTGATGCAAAAATGTTAAAATGGGGTCCATTTCATGAGCTAAAATGACAATACTTTTTGACTTATTTTTCGTTGGTTCATCCCCCTTCATATGTAAGTACAGTTGCCGTAAAGTTTTAACTTTTATGATTCTTACCAAACCCAAACAAAACATTATCACCATAAGCATTCTTACCAAACATCATAAAATTCTGTTACGTATCAAAAGAAAAAGTCTATCCACTAATACTAACGAAAAATTACCAGAGTGAGTGAGTGAGAGAGAGAGAGAGAGAGTGTGTGTGTGTGTGTGTGTGTATCAAATCACGAAACTATCATTGTGCGTGTGATAGCGACCTACAAAAATGGAAGTAAAATAAGAAATAAGAATATGTATGAAGACGACTTTTTAGGTTGTGATCATCCACAAATTCGTGTATTATCAGTATGCATGCACAGCCGCTGATTTACGATTAACACGAATAAACTTCCAAATCGAGTGAATGTTTAGGTATTGACTCGATCAAAAGTCGAGTGCATTATATCGTCGGTCATTATTATATTTGCCCCGCGAGAAGGATATAAAGAACAATAGTTGGTCAGCTGGTGGTTACCACTTGTTTTCAATGAGCTACTACACGCAATGAAAATATAATCGCTAATTATCATTGTACGTAAAATATTACATGTTATTTTAATCCCATTCTGTATGGATTCAAGGAAGTTAATTACTGTTTTTTGTTTCAATTCAATTTTAAGGACCATATTAATCTCTTTTTTGGGAAATAGAGCTGCATACACACAAAGAGATCCAGTACACTTTACACACACACACCATTTAATTGTTACTTCTATGCTCATTGACGAGAAGTGACGCCAATAATGAACCTAATCATTTTATCAGGGTATTAGTGTGTGACACAATACTACAATAACTATACCAAATTAATATACATGTATAAAATATCGATATTAAGAATATGGTAGTGCAATGAGCTAATTTTTTGTGCAATAATAATAAACTCTATTATCATGAAATTATAATCACTCGACTATGAAATAATCGTCGATTCCAACAATTACACACACATACACACATACACAACTATTGCTCATTCGTCGTCGACGATTTTGTCGGAACAAGAAAGTAACGCCTCCTTTTCTCTCTCTCGCGCGTAGAGCTCCATATAATGTACCCGCGTGTAGATAACATATAACGAGTCTAATAAAGGAAAGGTTGTATAGAAACTTCGCCAGCTATGTGAAGACTAAGACGAAACACTCGACCTTTAAAATTTTTGATTACCCAAATTTGGAATCTATCCCCGACTCTTGGAGAGACTAAAGAGAAAATGAGTTATAGTTTGACCAAAAATAAATAAATCCTAGCTCATTCATCACTCATTCATGATTGTGTCACTTTTACCGTTACATATCGATATCAAAGTACGTAAATACGTACGTATCGGTCGGTATGATTTCTCAATAAAAAAAGTATAATAAAAATACAGTAATAACAATATGTAAATAATACATAAAAACGATTCACGATCGCCATTTCAACTCGGACTTTGCACAAACAACAAACAGGAATTTTCTTTGGTATGATAATCATATAACCAAACCCAATCATTCATCCTCATCCATCTAGTTGTTTCATTGACTTGTGTGCTTTTCCTCTTTTACTTATTATTCTCATCGTTACATATTTATCATTAATAATTTTATTATTAAAAAGCCGCGAATTATTTGTTTTTTTATCTTTTTGGTAGACATGCTTGGTTTTTGAGTGGAAAGAGTTAGGATTAGAAATACGTGCGTGTTTAACAATAAATATTACAATTACTTGAAAAATTTTTCGGCATACTTTATCACTGTTAGTGTTGTTTTGAATATCAAAAAAGACCCGCAATAAAATTATGAGTAGTGACACACCAACCTCAGATTTCGAGTACGAGGAAATTCCAAATAAAGTGATAATAGCAAAGACACAGGAGGTAAGGATCGAATTCTCTAGACATACGCAAGCAAACAAAGCATTTAATTCCTTAGAAATGAAAAACAATAACTTCAATCCAGGCAAGTATCCGAAATAACCTAATTCATTATAAACAATACATAAATCTAGGTCTTCCAAGCTTACCATATAGCGAGTGAAGCATACAAACAAGCAAGTGAAGCACTACGAAATGCTGCCCAAAGAGTGGAAGAGTTACGCAAATTACTGCCAGAGGATATGTGCATTCAATTACCATCGGATCTCTTATCCGAATTTCCGACAAAAATATCATCAGATTCTGTATCTTCTTCACCCTTTCAACAAATAGTTTTGCCGGATCTTCGTGGTGTCAAGGAAAAGAGTTCAAGGAAAAAATTGAAAAAGAGGTCGAGAAAGCGGGTAAGACAGGGTCGAGATAGAAAAAGATCAAGAAAAATGTCTGATCATGGGGAGGATGAGGAGGAGGAGGAGGAGGAAGATGAATTGATTGGAGATATTGATGACATGAAATATGATAGTAATGATGTTCTTGTACCTATTGGAGGTGAAAAAAATGAAAACCAGATAAATAAAGGATCATCAAATTTCACGATAAAAGATCGACCAGCACAAGAAATTGAAAATAACAAAGGACTTGAAAATCAAAATTCGATTGAAATTAGAATGCACAAATTTAATAGTAAAAATACAAATGAAGTAAATCGAAATCCCAAAAAACCCGCAGAAGGGATCACGCTACCCAGTATCCGAACAATTGAAAAGATTCCAGGTGGATCGAATTCGATTTCAACAGCACAAACAGCATTACATCATCATCAAAGCCTTAGATCAAAAAGTGCTTCAATGCCGACCCTATCACTCGAAATACCATACAAATCCCCAAAGAATTCAGAAGCCCAAGAAATATCTCAACAATTTCGATATTTAGAACAACTAAACGAACAAGATAGAAAGAATGATCAATCAATAAATTCAAATAATCCTACTCCAAATCAGTCACATTTGTTTAATAAAGAACCTCGATCAATAAGATATTCAAATAATCATGGCAAAATGGTAGCCTCAAAGTCAACTCCTACTTATTTGATCTCCGATCAATTAAATGAGCAACAAGATAATAACAATAAAAACAATAATAATACTCCAATATTAAAGCCTAAACCACGATATCAACCATATCGAAATCGATCAACACCGACAATTAACACTGACTCAACTAACAAATTCCATAAAAAAGATCCAAGTGATAGCAGTCCACCAAGTTTTCCACACTATCCTCACGACATATTCAACAGCGAACTATCACCAACTCGACCTTATCAACAACGCACTCCCGAAACATCTACTACCACAAGTCCAACAACACCAAACACCACTGTATCAGTCCAACAATCGACAATTCACAGTTTCTTCTTGGATGGAATTCCGCATCAAAGCGTACCCGCATCAAATTGGTTTTATGAAGTGACAAAGCATACATACACCCCACAACCACTGTCGGCGGAAGAGAGTGAACTTGTCGATGATTTCATAAAATATGCGGGACCACGATTAAAAGATCCAGCGTGCACGCAGGCAGTAATAGCACAAGAGATTATCGATCTGTCGAATAATACATGTAAAATGGCACAAGCCTCAGTTTCGACCATGATGAGACGCATCTCGGTTCCTAAGCATCCAGCGATGCGAAGAGCAATTCAATCGTGGATTGAGAATGAACGGAAAAAATCAGAAAAAGCTCATATGTATGTATAGAATATCTGCCTCGTGGTTCCATTATATTGATCCATTCATTCATTCATTCATATTTATTCATACCATTAATCATCATCATTATCTTGATCAAGGTAAATATTTAAATTCGCGTAAATATTCAAAGCTTTTTCGAAGTCAAACAAATGGCTAAGTACAATAGAAACGGTTTAAATTATATTATAAATTCTAATACAATTTCTACCGTTTCTATTGCACTCAGCCCAAATATCTTTTATCATCATCTTTTTGTAAATTTAGATAAACATATAGTTTAAAAAATAAAATAATTATATGTATATATATTGTATATCCGACCGGGACATATCGAACCTTGAATCTTTTTACACGCGATTCAATAGTTTGATTTAGTTAGGTTTGATTTTCAGTGTAAATTTCTTTTCATGTACATGTACATACGTATACATAAATCATGTATGAAATTTCCTAAATTGTCGGAAATAGAGTGAAAATTTCCGTCACTATGAAATTGTAAGATTTATGGTTAGTAAATACGTAAATACCTATACCATATGTTCATATACGTTATAAATAATAAAGTTCTATTTTATCGCCATAGCAAGCTTGATCATGTGAGATGCATAATTACGTACCTAATAAAGCTATTAAGATTCAGCATACCAAAAGTCACCGGACACGGCTTTACCAATTTATAACGATAACCAGAAACAAGAACTAAACTTTATTTTTTATGTTTCTATTGAAAATTAAATTTGACTTTTGGCTAAACTAGAATGTAAGTTTGATAATAAATGCTGTATAATTCTATGAATATTGATTGTAGGTACATGTATCGGTATATGCCGAACCGATTTGTAGCTAGAAACAAGAGCTGCAACAGTGATTGGAATCAATTTTAAGTTTTATATTGAGAATTAAAACTTTACTTTGACCAAACTAAAGCAAGTATTCAAAATTATAAAAATAATCGACATTTTAGTTTAGTCAAAGTTAGGTTTTAAATTTCAATATAAAACAAGTCGAATTTCTTGTTTCTGGTTATAAATCGGTATAAGATAGTCTATCAATACTCAAATCAGTGATAATACAAAACCCCGTGTCTCCGGTGAAATACATTAAATGCATATGGTTTTTCGGTAAAATAAAGTTTCGCATGTTTTTATTGTTTCTTGAATCTACATCTCCTTTCTTAAAAATTATTTCACTTTTATTCTTGTGAAAAATCTATCGGATAATTGATTGCTTGATCGGTTCCTCTTTTTGAAATTTTCTAGCCGAATGCAAACAAGCTAAAGAAATATTTGATTGATTCAGGTCAGGTTATACAAAAATATAAATTAATCGATTATTAAAACTATGTTCATATTAGATAAAATGAAAATTATATGAAGCTTAAGAAAGGATCCAAATCAGTATTCGATTCGAAACAGGCAAGATAATTGATATTGCGCATAAATATAACCCTCATCTGAAGATTTACGGTAGAACCGAATAGCTTGATGCAAATCCTTACTAACCCCAGTTCCATTTTGGTGACACTCTGCCATGTTATAATGACCACCATAGTGTCCAGCGACAGCAGCTCTTTGAAAATATAAATATCCACGCCGCTCATCTTTTAACCGTGCCCCCTTCCCAGCCGAATAACAATATCCAAGTAAATCCAATGCATTTGAGCATCCGTTTTCCGCCGACTTATTCAACCAATAATCAGCAGCCTTCCAATCAGTCGGCGTACCATCCCCAGACGCCAAACAAGATCCATAATTAAACTGTCCCATCGGCGACCCGCTATGCGCAGCCTTTTTATACCAATACACCGCCAAATCATTATTCAACTTCACGCCTCTTCCCATCCCATAGCACGCTCCCAACTCGTTCTGGCCCAATGCGTCCCCATTTTCCGCGGCTGTTTTGTACCAAAAGAACGACTCTTTCGCATCGATCGAAGTCCCAATGCCCCAATAGTACATAAACGCCAGCAGGCTATGAAAGTTTGTGTTGTGGCGGTGTTCCTGGATGTAGAGGAATAATAGGATCTCGTGATACTTGTTTTCGCGAATGTAATTCTGTATTTCTTGGAGGATTTCTTTGTCGTCTCGGCATTTTCGGTGTTGTGATCTGAATATTTTGAGGACTTCGTGGACGAATCGTGATTCGTCAGTTGTTGTGAGTTTGAACAGAGATTCTTGGATGTCGTCGATTTTTGGATCTTTTGATGTTACGTCAATCATGTCGAATTGATATTCTATATAATAGCATATATATATTATATTTATAATTTGTGTGTATTTATTTGGTTATTTATTAGACGATTATTTTTACAATATTTTTTATATTTTCGAAAATTATAAAAGAAAATATGGTAGGTAAATATATTCCTTTCCCACTTTGGCATCAATAGTTCTTATACATGTATCACAGACTAATCCCGTGAACGCCGAACCTCTATTCTTATGCAAGCCTGATTTTAAAGCCGGATCAAGTGCTGATTATTGGATCGGGAATTGTGAGAATGAATTTTCAGAAATGCTGACACTAAACTGTGATTGTCATAGAATAACCTACGGAGAATTCATCAGAAAACATCATGCGATGATAAAAGAAGTCGGCATGTACATCTGTATCACAAACTATTTGTATATATATCACAGATGTGTGTTGTGATCAAGTTTTGTTCGGAAATACGGATTTTCCGCATTAACAGAAAATAAAGTATGATTACAGTTACTAGTTTCTCAAGAATGAATTCATTTCATTCGTTCGCTCGTTCCTTTTGCTTACATGTTCGTTTTTTCTTATGACAAATAAAAGTTTAGGCTAGGAAATAATAATATAAACAAATATTGTGATCATGAGGTTTTTCTATATCTGTCCTATGAAATTAAAATGTTTAACAAAGTTAGTTTAAAATACAGCTGCTATCACCATTACGAGTATGGTTTCGAAAATGGTGTCACTCATTGAGACAAAAATGGTTCCTCCATACATTCAATGATAGGGAGAATGAAAGGATTCAATTGATGCCGATAAAGAATCGATAATCAAGTATTTTCGATCAAAACAAATAATTGTTTTGTTTATTTGAAACACATTTTTTTCTGATTGGCTGAATGTTCTTAATTCATAAAGAGGAACATGCAAAGGAAATTTGCGCGCTCGTTGCACAATAACAAAATTTTGGAAGTACATGCAAGAATATTTATATTAGTCATAGGTAGACATGACTATAGTAGTAGCATAGATTCGTAAACAATAACGATAACAAATTATTAAATAATTAATGAGATATTAAGGCGACGATATCATCTTGTTCCTTATTTTAATCGTTTCAAAGAAAATTATTGTTATTATTAATTAATGAATTGCTTTGAAATTCATAAAAAAATTAATATAAATGGGAAACACAACAACAAAACTATCAACAATTTCAACAATTTCAACAAAATCCACCGATCATATTACATCGACATCATTTCTACAACCACGACGAACACTACGAAAGCAAAAAACAGTAGGGTCATTGCGACCAAACATCTCGAGTCCGGTAATGACGAATTACAGTAACAGAAAAAATATATCATTGACAGATCTTAGCCAGACGTTAGAAGGCGAGACAACTATTCTCGATAAATTTCGGTACATTGAAGGTCGTCGTTTTCATAATGTGCAGGATGTTGTCTACTGTTTTCCATGTGATAAGCAAGAAATAAATTGCATGGTGTTGTCGCATATCTTGTATAAAAATCATTGGAAGAGTAATTTTTCATCGCCGATTTATGAAAGGCTAAATTTTACGGGAACTAGAGTTCTTGATGTTGGGTAAAGGTTTTACTTTAATTATTCAGCAACTAAGGTAAAGATGGATAAAATAGCTAAAAAATTTCATTATAAGATGTGGGTCAGGAATATGGACTATCGAGATGGCAAACGACTATCCAAAAACTACATTTCTTGGAATAGACATATCTTCGGTCTTTCCGATAGAAGACAGGCCTTGCAACGCGGGATTCCTTGAACATAACATTCTCGATGGATTACCATTTCCCGCAGCCACTTTTGATTGTGTATTTCAACGAAATATGTTTGCCGCATACACGGACGCTAACTGGCTGAATACTGTCGAAGAATTAGTAAGAGTTACGAAACCGAATGGATTCATAGAGTTTATGGAAAATGACATAGAGTTTAGAAACCAAGGACCGGTGTCTCGAAGAATTAATAATACTGGTTAGTATACATGGAGTCGAAAATGATTTGATTTGGAGTGAAAGTTTAGAAAAATGATTTTAATAATTTTTATTATACGTTCACAAAGTCAAACAGTTTTTTGTATCAAAAGGAATAAATTTATTTCCCAGTCAAATTATACTACGAATTTTAGAGAATTCTCAAAATATCACAGATGTTACACATCAACAAATAAAGATGGCAGTTGGAGGCTGGGGAGGTGAAAATGGAGATAAGGTAAAAAAATCGATTGTTTTATAATTAGGGAAAGCTGAAATTTCAATCGATTAATTAGTTGGTTGTCTATTTCAAAAGCTTCGCCGTATTCTGGTCTCAAATCTAGGATCCTTAAAACCAATGATAAAACTCTCGCTTGGGATTGAAGACACCGAATGGGAATCACTAGCACTAGATTACAATCTTGAAGTTGAGACATATAAAACGTATATCACAAGTCATAGAATATATGCGCGTAAAGGTACTTCTTGTATCGTGCAAATTCCTGTTGATTAGATAGAAGCCTAATACTTTAAGTGTGTGTCATTGTTTTTTATATTTTAAATTATCACGTGATTTACAGCCTTAAGGTTTAGTAAACAGCCTGATAAAAATATGCTATATCTTAATACCACATTTTTTTCTCTTTATATGTACTTGTTTATATAGTACCGGGTCTCATTCACAAGGCCATTAATTTAATTGGTGGAGAAAGGGTACTTTGAAATGGGGATACTCAACAGCGCCCTACGATTCATAGCATTTTTTATTTATACTCTCCCTTAGTCCAATTTTTTTTAGTAACCAAATAAATAATTCAACGACTCACAATGCAATTTCTTTAAAAATTAGTTAATGGTCTTTAGATTAAATCAAATGGCGAAGCTTTACAGGTGAAGGTAATAAAGACGGTCGTTATTTCATCTCCATCTAATCAAAAGGAACCCCTAAAGAAAAGCGACCCGAATAAAACAGGTATAGATGCATTCCCTTAAAGTCATTCTTAAATGAATTTTATACATGTAGTGTACATTACGATTATATTATAGTTATACTTTTCTTAATGGAAACTGACACTTCTATTTGAAGATAAGATGTTTGTTTAATTCTTTCAGTTCTAATTGGTCATATTTTGTAGCACAAAATCTCCGATATTCTTGATCTGAAACTATACACTTGCATCTTGTATTGTTAATAAAATCGATCAATGAGTCTAACTATGATTATGAAATCCAGCCAGTTCTATTATCTTTGTGAATACGTAGAATGGAACTAAAAGTCGAGTGCCGCATTTTCGTGTAATTAAAATAATCTTGAATCGAATTCTTCTAACAATACAACAATAATTAAACATGCAGCCTTGCACAATTACACGTACAACTGTTTTTATTTTACAATAAGAAAATTATTACCAGTTAAATCATTCTAAGTAACCGCAGAATTGATGCGTAAGACCAGTGAACGAAAAATTAAACTTAAGATGCACACAACTAAATGGCACTAAATCAGCAAAAATTAAATAAGAAATGCAAGGTAACTCAAAGTAATGTTTCCGTTTTCCACGTTTATTTATAATTCATACCTGAAAGATACGTATATAGTAATACCAGTAGGTACTATTTATTTAGATTTTTAATGAATAAACAAGGGCATTATTACTCCGAAATCCGATGGATATCACCGGCAATATGTAAACCCTAGGATCTTTCGCTCAAGAAACTTAAAGAGTTAGTTTACCATTTGTTTGGATACATGAAAATAAAAGTTTTAAATGTTTGCAATTTTTGGTAGTTATTTGATTACTTGGCAACTAGGTTAATAATAGAATGTTTGTATTACTTTCGTGTTTGGACAACAAATTGGTTTCAGTAAGTGTTTGTGCTTAATGAATGTAATATATAAATAAAAGAAAGTTTCACTCTTTTACGTCAAATAATGAAAATGACACGCGGAAGGAATAATTGGACATGCGAAGTATTTATTACGTATATATTTTTGTTTTTATTTAATAAAAATACTAAAATTTATTATATATTATTTTTTTTCTTGAATGCTATTGTAGGATGATCACAAACTGAGGGTACTATATAAATTATATCAGGAACAACCAAATCTATGGCAAATTATTAGCCATGGGTTTCCCAAACAAAATTCTAAAGCATGTCGTGAGCGGTAAATCTTATAGAAGAGTATTTTTTATTGTATTCTTACCTTTTTATTGTATTCTTACGTTTTTATTCATTTTACTTTGAAAAAGATGGATTTTTCATGCGGATCCAGAAAGTAAGAAAATGTTGGCAACATTTTTCAAAGTATAGGGTTTCATTCTGTTAATTTTTTTGACAGTAAACCATTTACCATTTACATATGACGAACGACAATACATACTCTCTCGAGTAAATCAGCCTGGAGCGACAGATTGGGTAGCAATAGCAGAAGAAATATCGCATCCTCATGCACGAAGAACGGCTTTACAATGCAAAAACTTTGTGAATAATCGTCAACGACGAATAGACAGTGAATTTGGAAGACTTTTGGATAAATATAAGAAGTCTGGTGATCGAATGAATTTAGGATTTATTTTGAATTAGAGTTTGGATGAGTCTCGTTTCGTTACGATACTTGCGTGATCTCGTTTTATATTTATTCTTTTTATGCTTTATATTTTCTTTCCTACAAAGCCTTAAAACCTTTCATCATTGATAATAAGAATATATATATCACACATATATTGTATATATATTATGCACATTAATATTTTTATGCACATATCAATATTATTCATAACATTTAAGTTTATATTCAACTTTGTATCTAAATTGATGTTTACTTTCGTATATTTTTATGCCTTCCTTTACATTTGCTAATTGATCCCTTCACATACTATTCATGCTTTGTAATTCTTTTTTGTTATTGAAAAATGTATTTTTGAAATCAGTTACAGAGAAATGTATATCGAATGTACATCCACTTATTAGCATCTTTTATTATTGACAATTCAGTCGGAGATGCCAATCACGTTATGCATATTATTCACGTGATGTTCTGTTGATTGTTAACACGTGCATGTATCGGTATATACTGCACATTGTGGTTTATAGAAGTTCTACACAATATCGTATTCCATTAATTCGTTCTTCTCAAACACACAAGAAATTGAAGGTTTTTTGTTTATTTATTGCGTTTCAATTTTGTAACTATTTATTTAGCTAATCGGTGGGGGGGGGGGGGGGTTTGACACAATTTTGGCAATTGGACAAGCTTACAATTACGGCGAGAGAATTCTCAAAGAATCGTTTTGAGTTTTGTTAACGATTTTTCAATCTGGATTTTTAAATTCATCAGTCGTTCAATTGGGGGGAAGCAAGTGTGCATTCTTTCCTTTCCGAAATGTGCATTGAGAAATATGATAAGCAATGCATTAATTTGATGCAATGTGGCTATTAAATATGACGCAATAATTGATGTCTATTTCTATAATGTATTTCGAATGCACCATTATTAAAATATTAAAAAAAAGGAAATGTAAAAAAAGTCTAACGCTAATAATTAAATGTAAACAAACTACGTAATTAAGCAATGAAAGAATACTAATGCATAATACAATGTTGAATAATTAAATGCAAACAAACTAGATCTCAATATAAAAATTAAGAAGTGAAAGGATAATACGTAATACAAATACAATCGAATAATTATATGCAAACGAACTAGATCGAGATATAAAAATTGAGAAATGAATGAATGCTCATTTATATGAATGCATAATACAATATCCACCACACATAAATGAAATCATATCAATGTGTTGCTTAAATAATCATATAGATGAAGCATAATGTCTTATATTGAATATAGTAATGGGTAGAGAAATCTTAGGTGAATATAGTAATGGGTAGAGAAATCTTAGAGGTGAATATAGTAAGGGGTAGAGAAAGCATGCGAGTGCATACTAATCAGATTGAAAAGAGAGTGTGATAACATCAAGGAATTTGAGGCAATGAATTTATGTATTCGGTATCCTCACGAATTTTATGCCATCTAAAATAAAATTGTTATTATTAGTCTTTTGTGAGTAATTCTTGATCGCAACATGTTCAGGCAATTAAACGAACCTTTCAGAACATCTTTTATTATCGTTACCATTCTTCAATTTTTCTGCAATTTTTCTCCAATCAATTCGCATATCTCTAGCGATGTATGAATTTACAAATTTAACAAGATATGCATCTTCCTAGAAAAGTTACAGTTTATATAATTTTAGCATATATGTTAGAGAAAAGGTATGCTATTACAAAATATTGGAATTGAAAGAACTCAAATAAGATCCGTTACCAGTTTCGTCCTACTTGTATGCATTTTATGGTACATGGAAAGACTTGAACGAAGAGGAGGTTCCTTTTATATTTAAAAAGCCTAAAGTAATTACGCCATATGACCAGTTCAACATTAAGTGCAATAGAGACAGTGTAAATTGTGTAATACAATTTACCCCGTTTCTATTGCACTCATTCCATATGATCGTGATAATGATCATGATAATGAAGAAAACCGCAATATAATTAATATTTATTTATGTTACTGGGTGTTTTAAATTCAATAATTTTTTATAAAATGCAGGGTTCTATTTTCTATAATTCCTTCATTGCTAAAATTGATCATGTCATGCAGCTTTTGTTAATGAATTTATTTTTTAATTAAAAAGCAGATAATGTATTTGCATATTATTGGATAATGCGTACGCAATTTTTCCGATGTTTTTCCACGTTTTCGCAACATTAAGATGCAAATGCCCCTGAATAAAACATTGCTTTGCCTTTTGTGTATAATAATAAAAAGTCGCCACTTACAAGCATGCTATATTTACGAGAAACTATTCTAATAAATATACATGTACCTTTTAAGGCGAACAGCAACGAAGTTAGACAATACTTATCATTGTTTTTTATTTTTCTTTAAGCCGTGTTCGATAGGTAATTCTATTTTGATAAGAGAAACAAGCATAAATTGATGTCACAATTTTTTTCAGGAGTTTCTAAAATTAAGTTTGTATTTTCCCATCCGATACCGTAGATTTAATGTCCTGATCACATGCACGAGCTACGTATTTGATTTGATCTAATGGTGTTTAAAAAGAAAACATGCGGCGATAAAATTAATTCCGCTTATCCAAGAAATCAATACGATGGAAGGTTTCACTTTAAATAGTCAACAATTCAACATCATATCGATATTATAAATTAATCTTTTTGGCAAGAACAATGAAAAATAGAAATTATAATACCGAATACGTTACACAGATTTTGAATACACAATTCCCGTTACCGTTACGTACGCATACAGTATATTGAATATTATGAAGATTGCCTTCTTATTAGATGTATATAGTAATCTTGTCGTCAGATATTCATTGTTTGCGACGAATGCCCGTAAAGAAGTTCTGACACCAATGATTTAACAATCGAAGAAAGAAGTCTTGACGGAGGGAAATTTCTTCAGTCTAACAACAATTCTTGCACGAAAATTCTAGAGCACATAGCTTTTCGCAGCGGATCACACAGCGTCAGAAAATATTTTTCAATTTGCGCCAATTTTTAAAACAAGAGACTCTGATATGACACAAATTTCTTCGACACTTTGAATGTAATTATTCTTCTAACCACTAGCGAGTCACATTAGTATACACAATATTTACAGCTACAAATAAAAGTTTAGTCATAAATTTGAAATTAATTTTTTTGATATTTATCAAATTCATCCGTTACAAACGGAGAAAGTACTCCATCTCAATATAGATCATCGAAACAAAATATCTACCCGTTATTATGCGAGTCCGGAGAATATGGTCTATCCATCCGAAAGCCGACAATTAACAAAAACAAACGCATTTAATTTTACTTTTTCTTCGAATTCATGTGTTCAATTCGCAAATTTTAATATAATTTTAATTTCGCCAAAGAACAATATACTTTTTTTTCAATCATTGACAACACACCCCTACAATCAAAAGAACAATATGCTTTTTTTTAATAATTATAGCTGGTTATGCTTGTGCGCAAACCAGCTTTTCTTTTTGCACTTCACCAATTAAAGTTTATACATAATAATGGCAACTTCAATTAAGATTTATTGGCTAATAGGCAAAAATCAGTATAATTTCAAAAGAACAAATTGATTAAAACGAATATAACTTTTGAATCAGCAGATTTGCTGAAATTAATAATCATTCATCAGGAAATAAATACCAAAATTCAGTTAAAATCGTTAATTTCAGGCTAAAAGTCAGTTATATTTTCAGAAAATGGAGTAAAATCACTATAGTCAATTTTCATTTTTCTGCCTTTATATTCACATAACCTTGTAACATACAAAGTTTCACTTTTTCACTATGTATGTGAAGTAGATTTAACCAGACAATTTTTTTAATTACTATCAGATATTCATTAAAAATAGAGAAGTCACAAAGTGCATTAATTAATTAATTATAAATAAAAAATTTTCCGGAATCTAATTACATGTACGTACATGCATTTCGTGCCAAGCTAAAAAATAACCTTTCCGTAACACCGATCACAAAAAAATCGTGTGCTTGTTTTGATTTTCCAAATAAATTTCTCAACGGAAAATCAAAACTCAAAATCCACGGGAATAAAAAAAATGTCACAAATGTGGGGACACGTTTTGTGACATTGCGAAGACTCTTGGTTGGGGTGTGACCATGGTTTCAGATATCCTAAATTAACATGTCCAGATTGGAACTACCAGCTCAAAGCCTCGTTCTGGACGCCCGCACTGTTTGGGATCCCTGTGCCGGCACATTAAGGCAGTAATTGTGGTCCAAGTAAATATTGATAGCTTAATGAAAATGTGACCGAAATAAAATTGTGTTAATAATTTTTTATTTACTTTAAAAATCTGAACGAAAAACGTCTGTTCGGAAACTTTGGTACAGCTGCTTATAAAGTACTACACTGCTAATGAATTAATAATAAACAAACGCAGTACTATAAAAGTTGATTTTTCATTAATAAAACAACCTTTTGTGTAATAATTAAACTTGCTCGCCGTGAATGCTGTGACATCTCGAACACCAACGATTGTTTTACAAGCTTAGTACCAATTTTCCAAAACTTCGTTTGTGAACTTTGAACGTGATATTGTCTACAATGTCAAGCTTTAACATGATAAATGCTATACTAAAAAATGGTTTCAGGTTTATTTTAACTCAAAATTTCAGCAAATTTGGTTTACTAATTCATGAGATATTATGTAAAACATAAAACAAATCGTTACAACGCATTTATGAAATAAAACTCGTCATTTTCATTGGCTAAAAATGATGATCTTGACAAATACTGTTGCGCTTTTAGTTAAGTTGGGGGCGAATTGAGGGATTTCTAACGCAACAAGACTTTGGGAGAGATTATTTGACTGAGTGATGTTTATTTCGGTATCTTGAGCCTGTGCCGATATCTACGGATATCGTTTATTACGTTGATTTTGGGGGGAAGAAGAGACTATATGTTTCAGGTGAGTGTTTGGGGGTTTTCTTAACTGTTGCTTTTTATAGATAAAAGCCTTAAATTCTTAA